ATGCGGATATATGCCGTCGTTCGTGAAGATGACATCAGCGGAGGCGAGGATTGAGCGCTTTAATAAGAAGACAATAGTGGCTGTATTGTGGTACATTTACATGCGCTTAACATTTGTGTGTCCATTTTTTCTGACGTTAGACTGTTGGACCCTTTTCCATGGTAAGAGTTGCTGGCTGAGTTGCATCGGTCATGTTAGGATTTGCTATGAATTCGTACCTGTCATTCAGGGATAGTTCAAATGTATGAAGAAAGCAGTGAGTGCTGTGGTTCACAGCTGTGAACCTGCAGGTCATGTGCAACGGCGGTGCACTTTGCACATTGTACAGCTCGTGTACTGCTATTGTAAAGCTTTTGTATTGCACGGTTGGCCGTACAGTTCGCAGTCCCGCACGCAAGTCGCAGTCACTCGCGTAAAATTCAAATGGTAGCACATGCATTCGCAGGATTCGCAGTCGCGTATGCCATTCGCAATCCCTTGCGTTTGGCGATATGCTCGCGTTAAAAGCTCACCTGGTCGCGTTTAGGGTCGCGTAAAACTCGCGAATTCATTCGCCACATTCGCATGTTGTTGTTGTTACATGGTCGTGGGTGCGTTCCCCGTACCTGCAAACCACCCTAGTACGAGCCGAGGGCTCAAGGGCTGCCAAATCGCCTATAAGCACCATCCTACCTCGCACTTCCAACGAAACAAGTAATGAAGTATACTAACGACCAAAGGGAACGATAGAGTTGCGGTGAGACCATATACGTTCCAGCATTCTTGCCAGGCGTTCAGGTTCCCACTTCATAGCGTCCTTCATATGTTCGAAGCGTGGAAAGCCCATATCAGATCTGATTCCGTCGTAAACCGGACAGTCCAGCAAAATGTGTTTCTCATCCTCGATGTGGCTATCAGTGCCGCAGCAGGGGCATACTCGCTCCTCCCTAGGTATATAACGCCGTCCCTAACGCGCTCTGTTAGCCGCCAGTGCCCAACAGCAAAGCCTAAACTGCATAAGCTTGCAATTCGCCGAACGTGGGATAAACATTGTGATGTGCGGGAGCACCTCCTTCCTGCCCGCTTGCTCGGCCGCCAGCCCCATCCAGTGCTTATACTTCGCCATGTGAATTCCTGGTTGTTTGCCGTCTGACGGATACACGTCAGGCTGGACATCTAAACGTGTATGCTTCCAACCACTCACTAATCGGTCCTTGAACTCCGAAATCACACCTTCTGGCATTGGCTTGTTCATCAGCCACTCCACTCGTTCGTCTACCTCGTGTAGCCCTTGCGGGGCCTCTTTCCATACATCGTGCCCCAAAAAATGCACATTCGCATGTGCATACGCATTCGCACCATTCGCATGCGTATGCGTTACACCTATAGCTGAGCTAACGCTCGCGTTAAAAGTCACCTGGTCGCGTTTAGGGTCGCGTAAAACTCGCGAATTCATTCGCCACATTCGCATGTGCATACGCATTCGCACCATTCGCATGCGTATGCGTTACACCTATAGCTAAGCTAACGCTCGCGTTAAAAGTCACCTGGTCGCGTTTAGGGTCGCGTAAAACTCGCGATATCATTCGCCACATTCGCATATGCATACGCATTCGCACCAGTCGCGCCGCGTATGCCATTCGCTTGCGTATGCGTTACACCTATAGGTAAGGTAACGCTCGCGTTAAAAGTCACCTGGTCGCGTTTACGATCGCGTAAAGTTTGCGTTAGTTTGCGTTAGTTGCTTAAGCTAACGCACTGCCAGCCAAAATTACTCAGCTCGTTCGCATGCGAATAAAGATGATGTGCGTTAGGCCATACGCACAAGCGAACCGGTGCGTTATCAGTGCTTAAGATCGCGTTACATCGCGTTAGCGTCGCGTTAAACTCGCGTTAAAGCCTCGTAACGCGAATTTAACGCGACGTAACGCGATCACCCGTCGTCATAGTGATGCTGCTTAGTGCCTGAGCGCTAACCACCTTCCCGATCGCATACATTGATGTAGCTCACAATCCGCTCGGCTGCAGCCCTATCTGCAGCATCAGCACCATCGTACATCAGCTGTTCGAAGTATTTCGGCCACTCGGAGCCCGTCATCGATGAGACAACACGGTTTCGTGGCCGCTCCGAGATGCCTCCCTAATAATACTCTGGGATCAGTACGGTATTTTTTGCTGACACCATAACCCGAAACACCATAAGATCACAAGCAGCGCATGTCTTCCCCTTTGCCGCATTGTATACCCTCCGCGCATCGCGAAATGCCTCCCAACCATGGCCAGCTCCCTGTTTGTTGACATCGCTGCGCGCATCTAACATGGCCTGCCGGTGCAGCTCGGCGGCACTTGCGACCCTCCAAGGGGCATCCTGCTCTTGACTGAAGTGTGCTGGGCGGGCCTTACCAAATGCTTTCTCCAATCACCTAGTCAAAGCCGTACCGACACGCTCAACCGCCCTGGTACTATTTATTAGTAAGTAGATTCTGCGCTCAGATCAGTTGTAATCTGCCGTAAAGCTTCCGACACTGGTGCCTAATCACCTCGGAATTTAAGAAACGCACATAGTGCCTCCAGAGCGACACATCGAACCTAACCTGCTTCTTGATCGTTTGTGGCATGTGTGGAGCCGACGCCATGGCAGCAGCGTCAACAACAATAGAAACCGGCCTGTGATCGCAAAGCAAAAGGCCATCTTCCCCCTTGAGCTGTTGACCAACCTCAAGCCATTTGACTGGAGGAAAGAAAGCGGCATCGATCAGCCATACAGTACAGGTCAATCATGACCCCTCCGCCATCAGCGAACCGATCGTGCGGACATGCGTGCATTTACCATTGGGACCGCCAGGGTTCCTACCATTATTAGGGTTTTATCAGGGTAGAGCAGTCCTAATGACTGGCATTAGGGTGGTGGACACCACCTGTGGCGGACTCTCTGCTAACTATATATGGCCCAAGCAGGCAGGCTGTGGTTCTCCCGGAAAACCGGCTCCGTGGCGTAATGGTGGCGCGTCGGATTCCAAAGAAGAAAGCATCCGAAGGCTGTGGGTTCAATCCCCACCGGGGTCAATTTTGATGGGATTCACATAACACACAGCGTAGGTATACATACGCCTCACAACGGGAACCCACACTGGCCGAGAACTACAAGCATCCAACTACTGAGGGGCATGACGGGCGAACAAGGCATGCCATTGCAACCTAACGGACGTAAGTATTCAACTGCGTGTACGAGGGAGGCGAACAGGGTGCCTAGCCTTTACGTCCACTACATTGTACCCCGCACTCAAGGAGGGAGATGACTCAACATGTGATAATTATCGGGGTATCGCTGTGGGGGACCCTTTGTGCAAGTTGTGCGCCGCGCTCATCGCTAGCCGGGTTACAAATTCTGTGAGGAAAACGGAAACTGCGCCGCAAGACAGGCGGGATGTAGGTGTGGCTCTGGAACGGAGAAATCAATTCTCCGTGTTGCCCTGCGCCACCTCATTTCTTAGCATACATTGCCCGGAGACAGACCACTTATCGTGTATGCGCAGACGTGTGTACCAGCCCAAGATAGACCTTATTGATTTATTCCCGTATAGCTTTCGGCACCAGACAGCACTGTATCACCTTACTTGGCTCACAAGTAAGCGTACCGTGCGCGTGATGAAATGCAAAGCCCAAAAAATACCTAAAGGTCTTAAACGCTTTGCTGACGGTCATGTGCTTGCTGTTGCATACGCACCTCTTTTGCTAATTCCATGCGAATTTCCTCCGCCCACTGAGTTTATTGCTTTTGGTCATATTTCAATTGTGCACAGATTATATTAACTCACAGGACGAGTGTGAGGCCTGTTCCACCTAAAAACCGAAGGTTGCCGTACGTAGTAGCGGTTTTAGCCAGGTTTCAGCGGGGCCACAACTGTTGCAAGCCAGCCCTGTTTAGAAGTCCTATCGAAGGTCGCCTTACTGTACTACGATTTAATGCCAGGCATTATATAAAGCGATTTTGTCCATTAGGTTACAGTAACTACAAAAACCTCGACAATTGTCTCAGCAACGCGTTTGACAGAATGGCGTCATTCAGAATTTTTTTACTGTTTTTGTTGACCTTTATTAAAAGCGACGATTGGACCGCCAGAGCAGTGTGTACGTCGCCGACTTTGCTATGGTCTGACGAGTTTGACGCGGCGACCTTGGACACCTCTTCTTGGAATTACTTCACTGGTACAGGTGAGCGCTAGGAATCCCGTTAGCCGACCTACTGTAATCGCGCTCGCTCGTGCCAACCGCTTCAAGCTCCGCCACCCTTTGGCTTTAACATGCATCCTAGGAAAACACGGTAAAATATGTCGCTGTTTGGCCGCCGATTCGTCCCCTTTTCATCACGACTGCAGCATACAACAACGAGCTCGAGTACTACACTTCTCGCCCCGAAAATGTGCGGCTGGAGAACGGCAGCCTGGTCATCGAGGCACGGGCCGAGGCTTACGGCGGCATGAACTACACTTCGGCCCGCATTGACACTCGGCTCAAGCGCGCCTTCTACCCGGGCGTCTCCGTGAACGGCACCGTTATTCCCAAGATCCGCTACGAGGCCCGCATGAAGCTCCCAAAGGGTGCGTGTGGTTGTGACGGGTCCTTATCCTGACAAGCTGTGGAGCTCGAGATGCAACCCATACGTGTTCTGTTTTTCCGGGGTGGATGGTGCCCTGGCAGCTTCTGTGGCCTGTCCTGAAATATCTCAACTGACTAAATATTGCTTTGGTCTGTTTGTAATATGTTGTACAGGCCAGGGCATGTGGCCTGCATTCTGGCTGGCCCCAAACAGCCAAGCATGTGACACATGCGGCCCGTACGGATCTTGGCCGTACTCCGGAATAATCGACATTGTCGAGGTAGGTACGGGGTGTAGCAGTGGCTGACTCCCCTTGGCTCGGGGGGGGAGCTGGCGATGGTGTAGGGCCGTAATAATATTCCGGTGATGGGTGATCCATTACGGTCATTGCTTCCCCTATCGGACATATGCACTACATCACGTTATGCGCCGTACTCAAATCTGCGATTTTGTTTTCTTTTGCATTTGGGCAGGCTATTAACAACATGACTTATGCCTTTGGGACTGTTCACTACGGCGGCTTCAGGTCGGATGGTAAGATTGGCAAACGCTCGGGTGAAGAGGAGTTGCTAGCACAGCCGGTGGTTGTACAAGTGGTCGTACAGGTTTTGGGAGGGCCGCTCATCACGTTCCCCGCCACCACACACAGGCACGGCGCCTGTGCTATTATTGCCTTTCGGATATGCCATATGCACCCATGTGCATGTCTACACGATTTGACCTAGGGGTGTGTGGCCCCGTGTACATGTACGCATGCAGGGCAACCCTTCAACAACCAGGGGCATTACCGGCCCACCTCGTTCAATCTGGGGCTGGAATGGTAGGATACGGCTGCTGTTATGGTGGCATGTGCGTGGGCCTGTCTCAAAATGTGATGATGAAGTGTTCGGTGACGCAAGCAGTGCCTTTGTTCTTCGCGGGGCGTGTGCACACATGTCTGCTGTGCTTCACGCCTGATGTGTGACCACACCCCGGCTGGGCCATCAGGCACACGTACGCGTTCGAGTGGAGCTACAACCAGATGTGGTGGTTTATCGATGGCATGTTGTACTACACCACACACAGGTCTGTCTGGCCTTACTCGTGAAGGTATCCGTTGCCTCGGTGTTGATAAATGCCGCCTCCTGGTGTGTGGCCGTAGGTGTATACATTACACGCGCTATATAATTATTTGTCTTTCAGTTCCACCGTTATTTGCTGTCAATTCAAAAGCCCTGCCGGTGGTGATGTCCGCGCAGCTATTCTTTGTCGGACGAGGGCTGGTGGACTTCGAGTCAGACCACGACACCCACGGGGCCCAACTCCCCCTTCGACGCGCCCTTCTACATCATTTTGAACCTGGCTGTGGGCGGCGACTGGCCCAGAGCTCCGGATGCATCCACAGTGTTTCCTTCCCAGCTACTCGTCGACTACGTGCGGGTGCTGGGGTACTGGTGATGGATGAGTAGATGGAGGGCGCGGGCAGGGAGGGAGACGTAGGATGCGGTGTGCATGTATAGTGATGGTATTAGGTGTGCATGGAACACTACTGCCGCCGCCCGCCTGCTACTGCTGCGTGCTGCCCGCACGCGATGGATGTGTGGCTGTGAACTTGCAGATATTGTTTTATGATATGGTTGATAAGATACTGATAAATAGGAAGTGGTTGATGCCCTGCCCTGTCTGCCGGGGGCCTTATACTTTACGGTAATCATGTACCGTGCTTCGGCGATTGATGAGTATACATGTACATAGACGAGATCCCAAACAAAGTTTCCATGGCTTCACTTTTGCTGTGCGTCTGTCCGGGTCTGCTGAACGTCTGTACGGCAATTTGTTTCGTTGGGGTGTGGAGTCTCTAATCCCGCAATGTACAGCAGTTTGTTGAATATTTATGTAGTCCGTCGGTAGCAGTGAGATTCCAAGCGCGCTGTACGTGGCTGGTAATGATAGAATGTGACTGTTGGCGACCATTGGTCCGCGTGATCCCGCCGCCGCTGATCAGCTCAGGCTAGTGGTTGTCATGTGGAGCCTATTATTTCTAAATCAAAATCTGCTGCCTACTAGTCGTGTATGTACATATCACTGTAATCATAACTGTGTCAATGGCCGTCCGCGTACGGTACCCATGGCACCGTACGCACGTGTCGCTTTCGGATGGCTCTGCTGCAAGGCCAGTACGTGACTTTCAGCTTGGGACCTGACGCACAGTTCGTTGTGATGAAACCGCGGGCGAATGCGTTTGATCAGCCTTTCGATCGTAGACCGTGTGAACCTTTGTTCCGATTTTCAATCTTTCATCGCCCTGGCTTTTTAGCCTCTGGGTCAGGATTACTGGGGCATACGGGGCTTACTAGGGCGTTGACATTCCGAATGTAAGTTGGGTTTGGATAGAAGGTGGCTGAGCTGGCAGGTAGATGTGGGCCCTCTTGTTCGACCGTGCTCCGAGCGTCGCCTAGCTTTCCGTCGTCTGGCTATCGCAGGTAAAGCCCACTTCTGTGCTCCTGTCTCCCTTAACCGTATTCTCATGGCTCTGCCGACTCGATCGTGCTGGCTGACCGTGCAAGGAATGGTAGAGACACTGGGCAGGAAGCGGGGAGACCAGCTGCCAAGGGCCCTTACACTGCCCCCTGAGTGAATCCACATCCTTCGGATGACCATGTGTTATGAATGATGTACGTATGTTGTCGAATCGTGGAGCTAGTCCTCTGACGAGACGCGTCTCGTACGGTTGATTAAAACTGTGGTTTTGACCTTGTAGTCGGGATGGCCCTTCAAGGCGTGGAGCTCGGCCTCTCCACGGGCCAAGTAGTCCTCAACCTTCTGCCGTCGTTCATCTGGATGTTTAGGAGGTTGTCCAGACACGCACCTAACCCGGCCCGGTCAAGCGATGCATAGATCGATTCCGTAACGACTTCATCGTCTGTGGTAGTAGAGACAACATCATGTGTTTCCGCGGCAGTCACAGATTGATTTCGCACATCACATCATCGCTGCACTTCTTGGCGGTGGCGTAGCCAGGCGTGTCGGCTGCTGGGAGATCCTCTGTAATGGCTGAGAGACAGCCCGCCTTTTGCAAAACTGTCTGCATCCGCCAGAACAAGTAGTCTTAGTTCTCACCTGTGAGTTGATCACTGAATAACAACTTCTGATCCATCTGGTAGCAGTGAATCAAAGATCGGTCCGCGCAGATCAAAACTGTTGACGGAAGGTTTGAAGAAATGAAGTCCACCATAGCTGGCGAATAATTAGAATCTACCGCCGACTGTCTTCCAGCCGTGGCTCATAACCTGTTGAAGAAGCAGTAAGCGTTGCCCGCGCAAGCTGCAAGCTCCGGTGCTGTAGTAGCTGGTACACAGTACGGCTCTACAAATACGCGCGAAGCGCGACCACCAGTATCTCGAGAGGCCTTTTCAGCGGCCAGCTACTACAGGTGCTCTCCTTTGGGGAACGGTAAACCAAAGGACCGGCAGTCGTGCAAGAGACCGCCGCAGCAAAAACGCTGACGATGGCCCAGTCAAGCGCTCGGAAGGCGCAGTCTGGTGCGACCTACAGGCCGGCTGTACACGCAACTCTCACTCGGCACAAACAGCTAGCACCGCCTGAGTACGGCAACACAGGCACTCCCACGTACGGGAAATCCGAGGTGCGCCAGCGGCACTCAAACCGACCTTCCAGCAGCTTTTGCCGCTAAGGCAGGCTCCTAAACACGCGACAGGGAGAGGTAGGGGCAACGTGACGGTGTACAAAGAGTGGCCGAGAGGTGCCAGTTGCGCCCCGCGGCCTGTTATTGGTCTGGTATGGTGATACCTTTGCATCAGATCAAGCTTCTGTGTTCGATTCCTGGGCAGACTCCCAACATTAATCGGGAGAATTAGGTTTACATATTGCTGCTGAGGTGTGGAGATGAGGTTTAGTTGATGGACTGAGTTTCGCAAGCTGAGTTAGTGGTGATGCTCATCTACTACCAACTACAGAGTTGTCGGGCGACTGGATGAGGTGGGGTCTAGGTAGTGGGACCAAACAACCGCCGTCGGTTGTACGGTAGAATCAACTTTCAATATATATAGTCCATAGCCTCTCGGCTTTAACGGTATCCCCCCACTCGTGCGGCACTTGTAACTTGTTATTCATCAACTACTGCAATCTGGGCCGAGCTACGCCAAGCCCAAGCGGGACTAGGAATGGTGCAAGTCGGTGGATAAAGAGGAAAACAGAGCTCCTGATAGTGTAAGGCAGAATGCCCACCATAGGGAAATGAACAGCTATTTGATTGTAATTGTACGATGTCCCGGTGAACAATATCACTGGAGCCACCTAACTAACTGACAAGCTGACACCTACCGTCCAGAATTGTACTTAAAAGCTCTAGTCGGTAGGGGACTTCATCCCCTGAAGAGGAACTCGGTTCTCTCCTGCCGTGTCAAACTAGCAAGTAAGGAGGGTATGAGCTGGAGACTTCTCACCGACCGTCGTGACGTGGCTGAAGCGCTACTGCACAACATAATGACGGCTCAGTGCGGCCCCAGTGGGTTCAAGCGGCATTGTAATCGAACGGGCAACGAACACGCGTCGAACATTTTTCGCTTGGGAAGGGAGATTTGGAAATTCGCATTCATGGGACAACCATGGAAACCTTGTGGTCGTGTAAGCTCAGTTAAACAATTACAGAGTGTCGTCGTCTGAAGATTGACTGTTGGGCGACTGTTGGGGGACGGTACACGTCGTACGTTGATTGCAGAGATATAGAAAGCACACTCAACAAAACGTGCGAATGCCAACATGGCCATTCCACGCTACATATCCAAAGCTACCGGTATCTGTGCGGCGGAAAATCAGTCGTGGGCACGGCAAAGATTTCTCAACGGACTTCACCCGCACCCCATGCTGGCGTACGCTTGCAGATAAAGCGTGCTCTGAATGGCCATGCCACTCGAGCGTCAATTCAATCCGTCGCATACGAATTACGTTTTTGGCGCAACCAATCCATAACCACTCGAACTCCTACGACTCATCCCATTAGTGTGCTTAGACAAGCTACGCTGTACGTACATGAAGACATACGCTCATACAAATACTAAGCGGGACCTAATACTCAAGGCCTCTAGAGGCCTGATAGCCACGGGGTGTCGCGTGCAAGCACGCATGTCCCCATTACGGCGTGCACATGGGTATATATAGTATTTATATTTACGGTGGGAAGCGAAATCATATTGTCCATGTCTTAATGGGAGTAGTTAAACTTTGCGAGGCTCAATTTGTTCCACCACCATACGTACACTCAGACCTCGTACATACGCCGTATGGGCTCGAAGCAGCATAACTAGCAAAGCTAATACAAAAAAACTAAAAAGCTACTAACCCGGGACACAGGGGAGCGACTCGCACGGGTCGCGCCTGACAACACCAGGGCTCAATGCCGTACATGTCCCGTGCTGCCGGCAGGCCTCATGATCCGCAACGCATAATGAGGAGCTTCAGGTCCTAACCTCGCAGACACACAGACATGACACTGAGCGCATATTTAGCCGCCGCCGGCCTGGCCATCGCGATTTTGCTACTGGCCATTGCCCGTATTGACGGGTTTCCCTCTCCCTCCCGCCCCTTCCGCCCTCCCGCCCGCCTGCCCGCCCGCCAGGGTCCCGCGAAACACATCTCACACATACATAGATACATACTTACATACATAGATACATACCTACATACATAGACACATACTTACATACATAGATACATACTTACATACACACATACACCTGGCGGTATCCCGCGTGTATATTGAATTGAATTGAATTGTTACAGAGTGGGAGGTTTCTGGGCCACTTGAACACATGTATGTAGCGGTTTCCATCCGAGGTTGATCCGTGAATGGCTCTTGGCCACCTCATAATGCCCAGGTCCGTGCTCTCAGAACCGTCCACGCAACATCGCAGGCCAGAGATGGCTCCCAGCACAGATGTGGAGAGCACTCGGGCGTTATGTTGCTTTGCCAGAGTGTAACGCACAGCAGCAGCATGGTACGACTCCAAGGCCAGAGTTTGGGTGTCGGTGGTGAGGTAGCCGATATCTATAAGGGGCGGTGTGAGGAAGTTAATTTGTCAGGGAAGGGGGGATGGGAAGAAAGAATGGAGGACACACAGCAAGCACTGCTGGGGCTGGCAGCCCCGTGCCGTGGCGGGCCAGGCATCGGAACCGTAGGGAATTTCACTCAAGACGGATAATGCTACAAAAGCGTGGAGACGTTTATAAACACTGGTGGCGCATTGCTGTTGGCCTGCGGACCAGCTAGCCCGGTACGCCTATCGCTTAAAATGCCGATGCGATACTTCAATGCAATTTATTTTAAAAATTCAATGTGTGAAAACTTTAAATTGATTCCACGACCAAGAAGTTATGTGCTCACCTGCGCCAATTCATCCGCCACTTCGCGTTCGACAAAAATTTGCCTTCTGGCATCCTATCGGAGCCTCGCCTCGCACGCCCCACATGGGCCGTCCATTAGACTGCACAATATGAATGTTCAAACAATAACAACCGGTCTGCATGTTAAAGCAGTCATGAAACTGTATGTCATCTTAGGCCGAAGTCTCTGATGCTCAGTACCTTGCCGAAAGCAGCAGCGCTCGGGGAAGAGTTTCTTCTGCGCAGACGAGCAGAGTATCATTTATAAGTGCTTGCTTCCACTATATTACGTTCGCGAAGCCAGCCCTCTCCCAAGAACTTCAAATTCAAGGCGAAATTAAGCACGGCAATTTCTGTGGAAGTTTTACGCAGCCGCGCCTTCCTCTGAGTAGTTTTACCTAGCAAGCTTTACAGAACTTGGTTTATCTATGGTTACCTTTTATTGTTGCGGCGAGTTTAAGGCCGCACACTAGCACAGTTACGGCTTCTTCGCATAGGAATTCGCAGACAGATTCCAGGAGCCTTGATTCCCCAGACACGAAAGCTTCGTTCAATACCCAGTTTCTCCATCGCGCCTACTTGGATGTGCAATCCTCGTCCTGCTAGGATGGTATCTAGCCACGTGGCTTTCTGCCGGACCGCGGCAGCACCGATCTTCACGCACCTCACGTACCAACCGTTAGCTTCGCGTTCCCAGCGCCTTGCGCGCATTCGCAAAGTTCCTGGCCCTGCTAGAAGCTGCGGTAGCACGTCAGACTGTATTCGACGTAAGAAACTAAAGGAAATTTTATGGTTGCATTTTCATGGTGAAGCCTTCCTATGCTGATGGAACTGAAGGGCACTGCACTTCCGACTTCGTACACACGAAATGAACCACACGAAAAAAAGTGTATGGTCGGCCAAATTCCTCACCACGAACGCACACCTTCAACAAGGTAAGTAGGTGTCAGTTGAAAATACCGTTGGATTCAGAGGCGTTAAACTCCAGAACGGTTTGAGCCATGTCAACTGTAGCTATGGAAATTTGTAGCCGCTTTACCCAGTGCCTTGGTTGGCAGGCCCCGTCTTGCCAAATTCTCTGGATGGGTTACCTACATATCACCGCGAGTTCGGTGTCTTCTAATAAACGCCCAATCACATGAGGCAATATACAGGCGATTTTGACGCGGCCTCGTCAGTGTCAACGCCGCGCATGTGTGCCACGAGCAATGTGTGACGTGCGTAAGATGCAGTTTATGCTGGTTTGTTCGTTGAATCGGGATAACGTGTTCTCTGGGAAGGACCGAATAATGGCTGCGACGCTCCTCCGGCTTCCAAACTAACACCCGGCCCAGACGCCCTTCAACATGTGCGTGTACATTCCATCCTCTAATACACTACTTCCCCACTCGTTATCCCCGCTCTAGCGGCTCGCACGCCACCGCAACCTCACCTCAACGTACCTAAGCGCACATCCTTCCGCAACGAGTCAGCACTAGGTCGGGCCCCTCCTTGCCCATGTCCAACTGCTCATCATCGGCCTCCCTTGCCACCCTTTCCCCCTCCGGAGCCCCGCGCTGCCCGGGAGCCGCCACCACCACCGCCACCCGGTCGCCCCTTCCCCCGCTCCACATTGCGCCGCTGCAGCCGCTCCTCCATCAATGCGAATCGCGCCGCACCGCGGACCGGGCCCCGCAGTGCCGGCTTCGCCGCTGCGGCCTTTTCGCTTGCCTTGCTGGCGCTGCTGCCTCGCAGACGCAGCTTGCCACCCGGCCCTGTCCCCGTCTCCGCTTTGGAACCGCCAGCCCGCTTGGCAGCCCGTGCCGCTGTCGCCGCGCGGAGCTTGGCCATGCCCTTCGCTCCCAACACTGCCTCGGCCTCTCGTACTTTAATGTTGGCCTTCTCCTTCTGACGGGTGGCAATCTGGGGGGGGGCCGCATGGGGGAGGATGTGAGGAGGGCGGGACGGTGCGGGGAGGTGGGAAGGAAATATGCGAATGCCAATGAGGGGGGACGGCCACAGGCAGCAACTGCGTGAAAGCCACGCCCCCAGATCCCTCCCCCCCCTCGCCTGTTGCCCTGGTGCTTTGCACGCCGGCAATAGTTGTCTCTTTCCGTTTTTTTGCATCACCTGATTACCACCTTCATTCTTTTGCCCCCACTGCCCACCTCTCCCGCACCATAATACCTGGGACGGTGGTAGCTTATCTTTCTCCGCACTTAGGGAGTCCAACGGCTCATCTCGCTCCAGCGCGTACTCGATACGTTGGGCCAACACTTTATCACGCTTCGACACAATGGAAGTGATCTTGCCTGCAGTATCCGCGTGATGTATATTAGCAGCGAGGGTTTGCAGGAACTCAATCGGGATATCAAGCTTATTCGGTCAGCTGACAGGGAAAAACGGTCGCGGCGTCATGTGTGTGTTCTTTCCAGGGACTTGAAGTTGCAGATCCAGAATCCACGGAATCTGGGCTCCCCAGTTTTCTAGATTCGGAGTCCGCACGCAAGTGGTTAAGGGGACAACCGGGAGCTCAGCAATCAGGCGTTTTGCACGCAAGCACATACATATATGAAAGCATGTACAGATACACGCACGCGCCACGCGCCTGTATTTCCCGCCCTGGCCGTGCGGCCTGTGCGGTGCAGGTAGTCGACCGATGTGGTTGGGAAGTCGAAGTTGACCACATGGTCCACAGTGCCTGGGAAGTCCAGTCCCCGGGCGGCCAGGTCGGTGGCAATCATGATGGGCAGACGGGCGCCACCGCCGGCAACCGCCGCGGCAAAGGTAGCCATGGACTCCTATTAAGAGGACAGGGACAGGTGGAAGAGGATGGAAAACAGATGGAAAACAGATGGAAACAGGTGGAAAATAGGAAAAAACATGGCGAATTGTGTTATATCTGAAAAGAGATGCGAAAGTTGGTTTACCTAGGAAGCGTTAAAGCTTTTAAGGAAATTTTGAGGGCGCCTACCCTATCCTCTCCTGGTCATCTTCTGCCCTGCCATGGCACATAACTACATGCCCTGCAACTGTGTCCGTCCGTCTGTCAACCTGCTTTCTGGGGGTCCATATTCCCATGAAGTAATCAGGGCAGCTGCATCATTGCTTTGAAATTCAGCAGTTGATGTGATGTTTTGGACACCGGTACGCCGGGTTCTTTAGGATTTACATCAAGCTACACCCCTTCCCTTCCCTCCCCTCCCCTCCCTTCCGCTCACGTGCAACACGAGCCCGTCCCTCCCTCCCTCCGTCCCCTCGGGTGTGTGACACCTCACCTGCCTCTCCTCGGACGGCATTTCCCCGTGGTAGCACACACAAGGCAGTCCCTCCTCCCGGGCAAAGTGCTCCACCGCCCGGCAGCTGTCAACCGTGTTGCAGAACACAAGGACCTTCTGGGCGCGGCGGTTGTCAGCACCCAGGATCTGGAACAAGAGGGCCGGGAAAGGCCGCGCGGGTGCCGGCGGGGTGAAGGCGGGTAAGACGAAAGTGAGTAGGATGTATGTTGGTTAAGGGAAAACGACCAACGGTGCGCTGGTAGGCTGGTAAGAGAGAGGGAGCTGAAGGGGGGTTGGTGTGTATAGGAACGGAAAGATGCTCCTGCTCCAGCGGGAACCCAACCGGCAACTGGGTCCGGCGGTGCTCTTCCTCCATGGCCGCTCCGAAATAAAATAGCATGTAGACGAGACATTCAGGCATACAATAACACACATACATACGATAAAAACACATACGTACGCACATAGATACAGCTAGGCCGAAGCCTCTTACCTCTGCCAGCAGTTGCAGTTTGTTGCCACCGGGCGGCAGAGTCATGAACTGGTGGGAGCTGCCACTGACTGCGCGGTGGAGGGTGGAGGTCTGCAGAAAGATAAGAGACAGGGGAAATCAAGATACGCGAAAATGATGAACCAGTTAAGTATCAAAACGCAAAAATAAATCGAAGAGGGTGGACGAGGGCACCCTCTTCGACGTGAGAGCCACAAGCGGATCCAGACACCTTGCACGCAGCGAACGCAAGGTTAGGTGGGACCGCTCCAAGCCTGATGGGAATTTCAACTCCCCAACCTCCACCTCTTCTCCGTACATGGTACTCTCCACAACAGTCTTCCACACCCGGCAGCGCACTTACACCCATAACATTTTATTCAAACACAGACGCACACATTCCTTTCGCAACGTGTCATCAAGCTGCCAAGCAGCTCCTCCGGACACATACGAGAACATACAGACACACACACACAACCTTTCCAGCTATACAAGGTAGACAGAAGCCAACTCTCCGACGCGGCACCACACGCCCAGCCCCGGCTCACCTTGAGCTCCTTGGCGTCCGGCACCAGCTCTCTGATGGCTCTCTGTACGGGTTTTGTGAGGGTGGCACTGACCAGCAGCACGTGGGCGGGGTCGGGTTTGGAGCGCAGGGGGGCCAGGATGGCGGCCACCTCCTCACCCCAGCCCTGCCCGAACACTGTGTCGGCCTCGTCAACTACCTGACAGCCCGGTGGGGGCGGGGGGTGGGGTCAGGGAGGGCCCCGGGGAGGAGTTGACAAGGGAACTGGTTTTTCCGGGTTGCCGGGAAGCGAACAGTGGGATGTAGGTGGGGCAAGATGCGGATGATTAGGGTCACCCCCGTCCCCCTCCTTCCCCACCCTGTGTGTGTATGCGTGGGCGCCTATGCCTATGCCCTCGTGGCGATGGATGGATTACCTCGTGGTCAAGAAAGCCACATCTCGGAGCCACATCCCCCTCCAATGACCGGTTGACCGGTGCCATCCGTCCCCCTCCCCCCTCCCCCGGGGGCTATCGCGCAGTCCCTAGCCCCCAAGCCAGAGCTCCTTCCCACACTACAGCGTTACCTAACTAAATCCCTAATGCCGCCTGCACACTGCAAACCCACCTACCGCCCCATCCGTCATCCACCCGCCGCCAGCTCCACCGCTTACTCACCCATCTGCCTTATCACCCTAACACCCTTCACCCAGCCCAACTCAACCCCCTCAACCCAGCCCAACCCACCAGCCAGCGAATGTCCCGATACGCCACATTGCCCTCCTTGATGTGGTGCAGGAAGCGAGTGGGGGTTGCCACCAGCACATCAATCGGGCCGGACATGGCGCGAGCCTGCTGGGAAATACTGAAGAGGGAGGGCCGGGGACAGGCAGGGGTGGGGACAGCGGCATGATAAGCACGGGCTCATGTGCAGGGACAAGACGGGCAGAAGCAGCTCCCAAGCCCTTGGTAGACATAGCACAAGACGGGTCATAAAGGTGAATGGAAAAAGAAGAGTCACAAAGTGAGAGCGGGATGCAAACTTGAGCCTGGTTCGGCTCTCAACGCGCACATCTAGGCCCACTCCCACCTCTTCCCCCATCCCCGGTGCTCCGAACCCTCTCTCCCCTGCCCATTTGCCGCGGCTTTGGACGTCAGCACTGGTTTCGCTGACTGTCGCATATCACTCCCGTCCCCCTCCGCCCCGCGCACCTGAACCACTTCCCCTCGACCCGCCCGCCCTGGGCCTCCGGCCTACCTCGTGTCCGCATTCGCGCATGTCGCCCGGAACTTGACGGTGTGGCACAGCTTCTTGGCCACCCCCGTGATTTGATCCGTCAGCTCCCGGGTGGGGCCCAGCACCAGCACCCGGGGGCGCTTAGGACGGGGCACGAACCCGGAGGCCTCCTCCTGCTTCAGAGCCTGGACCTGTGCGTGGAGGGGCGCGCAACGTGCAAGGGAGAAACGGGTGTGATGGTATGGAGGCGTTTCCGCGGGGAAAAGCAGAGGGAAGGTGGATTGCATACAAGGCGGAGGGGGATTACCTTGATGAGGGGATTTGGTCAAGGGGTGCTGATGACTGCCGGACCAGTCAGACGCTTGCCATAGCCGGTCAGGAAGGTCAAATGACAACAGGCGACGTGCAGGGATGCGTGATTGCGGATTTTGGTGATGCACTCCCACGCGAGCTCGAGGGTGGGCGCTGCACCAATGATGAGTGGGGGTGTGACCCTGGATGGGATAGGGCCCGGTACCCTGTCAACTGCGGTTGGTTCCCACCCCATGGCTGTCGGGGGCCGATTGCCCCACGGACCCAGTTGGTGGTTGGTCACTGACCCAGATCGCATTGGGTTCTAACCCCGCTGGCGATTGGTCCTGTCCCCAGCTGTCGGTTGGACAATTCCCAAACATATGATCCACTCGATCCAGTAATGGTTGGCCCTGACCCAGATGAGCCTGAAGACCAAGATCAGCACCCCAAAGATCAGTAACACTCACCAACGGTAGCAAATATGCCAGAGTTTTGCCGCTACCGGTGTGGGAGGCGAGGAAGTAGTTGCCGGGCTGATTCATCAGTGCGGGTATCGAGATTGACTGAGGGACACCGAGCCCGGAGGCAGGGGGGAATGGGGAGGTGGATGCTTATTTGGAGGTGCGAGGTGCGAGGGCTCGTTACGCATGAGCAAACAACTACGTTGGTATCAAAAGGTCTTCGTTTTCGTTGCGGGTGTGTACAGGGTGTGTACAGATGGCTGTCCTACCTGAATGTCAGTTGGCTCTGTGATGCCCATACCATAGAGAGCGGATACCAACGGCGTCTGAAGCCCTAGCTGTTCGAAGCTCCGAGGGCCAGCGGACGCAGCTGGCCAATCGTTGTGGCGTGCGACATTGACGACGGTCAGTTGGGGAGCGCCAAGGGTACGGTACAGGTGGGAGGGTTGGTTGTGAAAGACTGGCGCGCGCAAGATGACCGGCCGGTAGCTAAGGGCCGAGGGGGCGGAGCGTTGCGCTCCGCCGCCAGCGCCAGAGATGCCTCGAAAACTCCAGCCGCCAGCGCAGAGCATCGTGAATTGTCCGCGAGGTCGATAAAACGGTAAAAACTTGCGTGTAGCGCCCGCAGCGCCTGCTGCATAGCGGGCGGCTGAAATTGAAAAGTATGAACGGAAGCCAAGCACCACCACTTCTTACAATAATTGCTCTAGAAGCTCTTCATTTGTGGAGGATAAGTGCATGCCAATACGCTTGTTTATCTATAAAGCGCCGACAGCGCTTCGCCCGATGAGCCGTCACCCGGGATGACCATGTAAATAGACACGGAAGAAAAACGCACAAATGAACTGTTAACGCAACTGGATATATGGCGGAACCAAGTCGTGGAGTCGGAGAATTTCAACCGACGTCGGGCCCATGGAAGCCGTACTTGCATTGCAATAGTGTTCAAAGTGGGCCATGTACAATTTAGAATAGCAGGCTATCAAGCGTACAGTGTTGAATTTTAGAGGTTGTCACGTCCTGTGTGACAGGCCTTTCTTCACTCTAGCGGCTACGTGTCCCACCTAGTGATCTGAAAATGCGGGTCGCTCTTCTCTGCGCCGCTCTCCTTGGCGCGCTTGCTCTTGTTCGTGCGTCGGATGATCCTACTGTGTCGCTGCCTGGAGTCCTTGATTTGAGTAAGTCAGCGGCGCAGGGGTCTATCTGGCGCAACGTGTGACCCTCCTGTAGACCGGTTCTACTGCCGAACAGGAGTAAGAAAGTCAATGTGTGCTGAGGTGCATATGGATTTCCTTGGCTGGCATGTTTCTGCTGACTCCTGTATCCTGTAGATACTTCCAGTCACCCATCCCGCGCGGTTCTGGTTTGCCTCTTGCAGCCCCTGAGACGTTCGACAAACACGTTAATGGCGCAAAGCATGCCATCGTCGAGTTCTACGCTGTAAGTATGGCCTGCCCACTTGGGCCTTGCCGAGCAACTGGGTTCTCCGTTGGCACCCTTTGAACCCGGCCTCTTCCACCGGCCCCCTTGCACAGCCATGGTGCGGCCACTGCAAGCGCATGGTGCCGGAGTACAAGAAGCTGGGCGAGCTTGTCGCTGCTGATCCCAAGCTTAAGAACCAGGTTGTTATTGCCAAGGTGAGGTTCAACGCGCGGACTCAAAGAAATTGGGCGAGATGTGTCGTCTAAGGCGCTAGAGGCATGTAGCACGGGTTGTTAGGTCCGAGGGGAAGCACAGGGTTTCGCAGAGGAAATCGATTGTTTCGATATTAGTAGAAAAAACAGACTATGTTGAATATTACCTGACAACGTTTACCCCTATCTTGTTGTACGCCCATTGTACGCTCATTGCCTTCCCTATATTCTCGCGGCTGACCCTCTCTGTCCGCTGCAGGTCAACGCTGATAACCACCGGAGCCTCGGCGAGAAGTTCGACGTCCGTGGCTTCCCGACAAGTAAGTGCAGGCTATTACACTGTCCTTCCTGTATCGCGTCGTGTCAATTTTATCGAACTTTATCAGGGGTGTTTGGATTTTGGCCTGAGGGTTTGATCGCCGTGGCTCGTATGTGCCGGTTTGGTGCTGCGCTGCTTATTGCACATGTATCCGGACCCGCTCTGTGCGGTAGCAGTCTGGCCTCGACTGTCATACGCGTGTCTACGAAATGTTTACAAGCACTTGCTGCTTCCCCCTCTGCCCTGCAGTCAAGTACTTCGCGCGTGGCAAGCCCGCCAGCAAGGACACTGTCCAGGAGTGAGTATAATGCCGAGTCAATGCCGCATGGGACTTGTGTTGCTTAGCAGCTGAGCTTAGGCAGGAGTCCATGAGAAGTTGTTGTCATGGCCAAGTTGTTGTCATGGCCAAAGGTTGCCTCCTTGGATCATGTTTGGTAACGGCCTAAGTTGGCATACGTATACATGACGACCAATGCTAAACCGCGGAACTCATTCTTTTCCTTTGCAGCTACCAGCAGGCCCGCACTGCCACTGCTTTCCTGGAGTTCCTGAAGGAGAAGCTGGCTGCTGACAAGGTACGGATATTCGTTGGCAGGTTTTGTACTATCTATCCATCATACAGGGTCCAAATGCTCTCGCTGTTGCCTGCTGTGACAACCTCATGTTCTGTGCCTGCTCGTTATGCGGCGTTGACGATTGTGATATGATATACCACCCAGTCACGCGATGTTTCTGGTGTAGTTGACGGGCTGTAAGCATGGCGAAGCATCTTTCTTGACAAACAGGTAACAACCTTGGCCTTTTGTAGGGCTTCGCACGCGTCGAGGCGCTGGACCCTATTGCCAAGAAGTTCGTGGAGGCTGAGGACAAGGCTGCCGTTATTGCTGAGGCTGAGACTGCTGCTGCGGCCCTGACGGCTGAGGACGCAAAGGCCAACGCTGCCGTCTACGTCAAGGTGATGCAGAAGGCCGTGGAGAAGGTACGTGGATCCCGAGCTATCACACGGGCTTTGTATTCCGTATTTCGACTCGTCCCGTCAGTTCTACGTAAGGTCCTGTGCGGTGCTTCCCAACGAGAGCTTTTAACTGCAGAAGTAGCATGTGTCCGCAGGATTCTCTTGTAAAGGGGGGCATGCAGGTGTTGCGAACTTTCGTTTGATACTTGGGTTCACTGGCTAAAGGCGCGTCTGCCAGAAGGGTTGTGGTGTAGTGGTTACAACACTAAATGCTAAATGGTAATGTTGCTTACAGGGTGTTGGATACCTGTCTAAGGAGAAGGCTCGCCTGGATAAGATGCTGGCGGGCGGCAGTGTCGCGGCCGCCAAGGTTGAGGAGATGAGCCGCAAGTCCTCCGTCCTGGGCGCTTTCCTGGACGAGGACGATGAGTAAACACAAGGATTGTACAGCTGACAATCGAAAAGTAGTCCAGCGCGGTGTGGACAGGTGCACCAGCACTACTGTGCATCTTTTCCATGTTCCGGTAATGTTGTCACTGGACTGGTGATGTGAAGTTTGATCGCGCGCGACGTGCGCGCGCTCGGGGTTTTGAGGTTTGCGCAAGTATATGGCACTTCTCATCGGGTGCAGGTAGAGTTGCGACGTGTCCCGCACTTCGACGTCTCCACCGTTTGGTATTGGGCGTGCGAGTTCATTGCGGGATTTGAGCATTTCGCGATGCCATCTACGATGTGGCAATGCTGCACGAACCTGTAAATTTACACAAGAAAATTTTCTACGGGCCTAAATCACGTATCCATGACCCGCATAGCTGCTAGAACGGCCCAGTGGATGAGACACCCAACATGCTGCGGTTAACCTAGTCAGTGCAGCTATAACTTAGCGTGTAAAGGACATGTGTTTAAGCCAACAGGCCATCTAACGGCCAGATCAGATGTCATTAAAATTGAAACTGCAACGACAGCCGGTACCAGCACTCCATTCCGTTCCCTAATCAATCAGAATCAAGCACACCGAGTTATAAAGGACGATAAGAGGAAAAACACTGACACCGCCACGTGACGACGACGCTTCGTAGAAATGGCGGGAGAGTTGGAGCGGCCGTAGGCACATGCATCGACAGCAACTGGACTTGCTTACCGAAACCGCAATTGTTGTCCGGATGGAAAGTCCGACAAATGCGCCCATAACATATCTACTGTACACAGGTTTCATATACTTGTGGGACAGTGGGTACACACAGCAAGTACCCTGTACCTCGCACGTGTAACAACCTAGACAACGGCGAATGCGGGCAACGGACAGCAAACTGGCGCCATGTGACCACCACTTAACAGAGAACAGATCCATGATCCGTCGAAGATATCAGCGTCAAGACTCCGTTAGCGGAAGCGGCACAGCTTGCATACAAGCAGCAGACCGTCATGGCTCCTTGCCCAAGACGACTCAAGGAACTGAATTTCCTACATTAACTCAGGGCCTTAGCTCCCCTCATGGACTGGGCTTGGCCAGACTCATCCATCCCCTCCAGGCCCCCGAACTGCACGTCTCTTCGACGTTCCAGGGTCCAGTCGCCTACTCTTTCGCGCACCGGGAAGTTTATCAACGAGAAGCTCCTGGTCAACAAAGCATCTGTACCACCAACACATGACAATAGCAATAGCAACAGCAACGAAGGACATCCTGAACACCCCAGGCGGAGGTTGCCGTCCTTCCCTTGCCCCTCCACAACCACCTCCATGACCCGCCGACGAGCCAGGTCAGTGTCGACTTGCCCGGCGGCATCCGCAGGAGCGCCCATTGCCCTCCGCACATCTAGAAAGGCCTCCAACGCGAGCCGCGAAGGTGCTGCAGTAGCCCCCACCGTCAACGCGTCTCTCTCTCCGTCCCTCGTGAGCAGCTACTGCGACTTGTGTTGCGGTGATTGCGGCTTCAACTTGGGCGATTGCGGCTTGATCCTCAGCGATTTGGGAGACGACGGCCTCTGGGAATTCCGCTGCTGCTGCCGCTGTGGTTGCGCCAGCGATTGCGGCGGCGGCGGCGGTTCAGCAGCCGACTCAGCCGCCGCAGGGGCCGCTTCAAACCCATGGGCCGCCACAGCGCCAGTCGCCGCGACATCCCCACCTCCCTTTCCCTGTCCCGCCCCAGCTCCGCCCTCACCGGCACCTCCGCCCACCTCCAGATCTCCCGCCTCCTCCCACTCCTCCATTGGGACGTCCTCCTCAATCACCATCTCCACCACCATGCCGCCATCTTTCTCATTGCCATGGGCGTCCACTCTTCGCCGCTTGGCCTGCATGCCATCCACCATCTCCCCGGCCGTCGCGCTGTGAAGGCGCTTGAGCCCCCGCTTCATCTCCGAAGACGCCTTGGTCTCCTCCGGCTGGCCCTGTTCGGTCGCCTTCTCTTTTACCGCCTCTTCGCGCACAGCCTGGGCCGGTGCCACCGTTCCCTGCGCCCCTAGCTTTGGCGGCGGCGCCGGCTCATTCGCTTGACCTTCCTGCCCCCCCAACTGCTCTTGCTCTTGCTGCTCCTCCTGTGGCTGCAGTGGCGGCGGTGGCTGTTTCTGCAACTCCGCCACAGGCATGTGGCTCGCTGGGCCAGGCATGGTTCCGCCGCCACCACCGCCAACGCCAACGCCATCTCCGCCATCACCACCATCGCCACCGCCGCCGCCACCACCGCCGCCACCACCGCCGAAGACGCCGCCGCCACCGCCGCCACCCGCGGCTCCAGGACCCGCTCGGGCCGCGGCCTGCCGTGTGGTTTTGTTCCCAGCCAACCCCACCCCTCGATTGCTCCAACGCCGGCCGCCCTCCGCCAGGTTGACGGGTCCACCAGACTCGGCAGCCGCCGCCTCGCCCAGATGCTGCTCCCCGGTCGCGTGGGTAGCTCCCCCCTCCTCCACTTCCAGACGGTGCTCATCCAGCTCACCCTGCAGGTCCTGCTTCTGCTGCTGCTGTTCAGGAACCTGCGGCTGGGGCTGCAGCTCGGCTCCATGCCCCATCACCACTTCGCCCTTTCCGTCCACCCCTTCTGCCGCCCCTTGCCCCTGCCCCTGCTCATCCTGGGTTGCCCCCTCCGACGTCGCCAGCTGTGAGAGCTCGGACAACTCAGATGCCGCCTTGCCGGCCGCGGCTCCCCCAGTGCGGTTGCGCCTCCCACGACTCGGCTTACCACGGTGCCTTGCGGCGCCAGCTACTGCCGCGTGCCGGGTCCTCCGCCTTTCAACTTCTTCCTGCATCTCCAACTCCTGCTGCTGCTGATGATGATGATAATCCTGATGCGTTTTTTCCTCATCTCCTCCTTCCCCTTCTCCCTCCTCGTCCACCTCTCCACCTAACAACTTATTAAAATGGTGCAGAACTGTCTCCTTGTCCACGTTGCTGAGCTTGGTCAGACCCGGCAGCTTGTTGACGGAGCGGTAAGCTTTGACGACATTGGATGCGACCCGAATGGAAACGCAGCCAGGGAAGTGCCTGCACAAGCGCACAAGCAGAAGCAGCATGAGTCACAGCAGGCATCGCTACTCCTCAAAAAATTAGCAAACGGGGAAAATTTCTTTCGTTCGTGTGGTTGTGCGCATATACCGCGTGCGTCTTTTTTGCTTTAGTATTCGAGTATGTTAGCAAGCGAAGCAAGAAGGGAAGCAAGCAACCCTGAGCAAATAAACGCCTTTCTCCACGCGGAAGGATTAGCTCCTAGCCCGGGCGCATGTAAGCGTCACGGCCCGAAACGGGACCGTAGGCTACGGGACAAATACGGGGCGCTCTGGCTTCTGGTCCACCGCTCTGCATGAGGCGAGGATATGATGGAAACCAGATAATTAAAATATGGATTTGGTCGTTAGTATACCTCATCACTTGTTTCGTTGGAAGTGCGAGGTAGGATGGTGCTTATAGGCGATTTGGCAGCCCTTGAGCCCTCGGCTCGTTCGGGGAACGCACCCACGACCATGTAACAACAACAACAAAAAGATGGATAGCTGTAGACCTTTTCCTTGGCTAGGCTGGGTCGGTTATGCAACCCCAGCCTAGATGAAATTGCATATTTTATAGGCGTGTGAGCATCCTAGACGCCCATACGTCCACAGATACCTGGGGTGAGGCGGGCCCTTGGGAGACTTCAGCACAAGTTGTAAATGGCCTTCTGCGATTGCCTTACTGCAGCCTGCAAGAAATATAAGGCAGAAGTCAAAAAGGCTTAGCAGCAGAGAATGCGGCGGCGAACGCGGCAGCGGCGGGCCGGCAAGAAGAGAACCGCCGCAGCGCCGCAGTGTTGAACAGGGAAGCGAGAAACTTAGGGAGACGACCCATGGTTCACAATCCGTCGGCGCACGCGCTGCGGCAACTCCTAATACCACGGAAGCTACAACGTTGTAAAGGCACAAAACAAGGTGGATATAGCTTTTTCGTAACAAACTCGAATGTGCTTGCCAACGTTCCGTCCTAAAGGCAAGATCTGTGCAAAAGCGCTCGTGCGTTGCACTTACCTACGCATTTGCCGTTATCGGCTTTTGCGCGGTCGATGAAGTAGGTAGGCATTTGTGCATGAAAAGATGCTGAAAGCTCCGCAGCGCGGTCAGAACCTCGCTAGGAGAGAACCGTCGCGTCCAAAGGTGCAGCCAGCCGTGAGGACAAACAACCCCTTGGATGCTTCTTGACGCCTGCCGCTAAGCAGGGCCTGCGTAAGCAATAATCTCGCTGTGGGGCCCTGTGAGTATTGCAGCAATTCTGGACCTGCCTGAAGGTGCAGACGCAACACCAAACCTCGCAGAAAAGGTCTCCGGTGCTTGCCCGTGCAGGCCAGTGCAGGCAACCAGTAAAAGCTATGCGAATGCGATTGTTACAGTAGACCCCGAACGGGTCGAGTGCAGCGCCCCTAGGAGCGCCTCCCGCACAAAAGCTATGCGCAAGGGAACTTTGTTAAGGTCATGGGACATGCTAAGCGTTCTAGTCAATATCGAGAGATGAAACGTCGTGCTGGTTTGACTGCGAACAACAACTCCATGAACAAAGGCCCGTGCTACATCCATGTGCGATGCAGGGCTATATGTCCACCAACCTGTGGCTAATAAAGTAAAGGCGCAGCTGGAGTATATTTCGCGTGACTCTAATAAATTAGCAAAAGTGACCAGCGGGGCTCTGCCGCCCTTCAGTGGCATGCTGTCCGTCTTCCTACGGGCCGTGCTTAAATGCATTACTAGGGTCGGAATTATGGAAAGGACTGTGTGGCATATGGAGGGTACCAAAACTCTATCCAGATATGCCAGGCCTTGTCCAGGTTTCCCCCCCAACATTCTTAGCGACGGCGCAAAATGTCAAACGCCATATTGCATTTGGGACAGTTTGGGACGGGGTAATTCACCTTGACAGAAATGGACTTTTCAGCTCCTGAAAATTGCAAAGCAGGGTTGTTTTGGCTACAAAGCAGGTGTGCTGTGATAAAATATCAAAGAACCAGATTCTGGGCAGCATGACGACGACGTGAATCGGGTCGCAAAGTCCCGAAGAGGAAGAGCATCGTCCCTGAGGGCTGTCCGCGCTGTCAAGCATTGTGACGATCCGCCAGGGCACCCGAGCTTTCCTCGCGCACGCTGTGCGGTTCTCAATAACTTGGGACAGCTCTCGTCTCCCGCCTTAACCACCACAAGACCCTCCACCACAAGACCCTCGGCTTGCACATCGCCACCAGAAATCAGCCATTTCTCACCCCGCCCGGCAATGGCATATGCCGTACGACCCTGTACACCTGCCGTACACAAAGCTAATCTCTTGCGTAGACTACCAAGGGCTTCAGTCAACCCACGGCAAGCCCCCTCCTCTTTTATATACACCTCCACTTCTTTGCCTGACCTGACCTGACTTGGCCTGACCTGCCAGTCCTAAGAAAGGCCACGTCTCGCCGATCTCGTCGGCCGACGGACATTTCCCCCCCCCACCGCCAAGACCCCCCCCCGTCGTTTCGAGTCTCCTTTCATCAGGAGCGTCTTCCCGGACCTGCAGCACCACCACCGCCCTGGCAAGTCAGTTCAATCTGTCCGCCTCGCCAGTCAGAAGCTTTCCCCCAAAAAAGGTTCAAATCCATCAAACCTGTCAAAGAGTCATGTCAATAAATTGACAAAGGCGTCCAGAGCTTCACAATATCGACGAGAGCAAATGAGGTTTTTGGTTGGGTAGTTCTACTCGTCTCCTCATCTCTAAGCCGCCAAGACGTAATCGCCACTCAAATGCCCCTCTCCTCTTCTTAACAGCAGGCCTGCCACTACCTCAAGCACTGTCACGTTCGGCCTAGCTTTCGCCCTCACTAGCCCTCGCCCCAGGCACCTGAAACACACACACGCACACATACACCTCATCTACTGCCAAACCCTCCTGTAACCCGTCTTTCGGCCACCGCAGCCTACCACCTAGCCAGCTCCCGACTTTTCCCCCAACCTTGTAAAGAGGTAAAAGTCCCATCACCCATTCCCACCCACATCCCCAGCTCACCCCCTACACCTATACTATACTACATACGTACATACGCACATACACACGCACCGTCAGCCTAATTCCCCGCCAGCCCTGTCTCACACCCGCCCGTCCTTTCTGACCACCAGCACGCCCCCTCCCTTAACCGACAAGAACTTGCGCCAGGCCAGCAGCCCCCCCAGCAGCCCTATGACCGTAAGGCCCAGCAGCCAGGTGGTGGTGTGCACCAGTGCGTTTACCCGGGGGGCGATGGACATCACCAGCGCGCCCGTCACGTTGCGAGCAACCACCACCGCCTTGCGGTTGATCTGAAGGAGCAAGGGGAGGGGAGGAAGAGGGCGGTTAGGAGGGAAGCGGACGGAGGGGACGTGTGGGTTAGGGTCAGGACGCAGGGCCCGTGCTTATCAATGCAGTGCCCCTGTTCCACGCAGCACAGGAAAGTACCCCACGTCACCCCACACCCATTCCAATGACGGGACGGGCTGAGGTGAGGAGGAACGTTTTGTGAAGAGCCCCCCCCCCCAGATGGCGCACGGGGACCAAGGGGTGGTGCGAGGGTGGCGGCATCCAGGGTGGTGATGGTGCTGCTGCGGATGCTGTACTCTACGGAGCCTCGAGGCAGCGGCCCCGGGAGATTATCGCCACAGGGGGGGGGGCACAGGGCGAGCAGGGAAAAGCAGTGGCGAAGGAAGCCGCGGTTCCAAAAGCCCACCCTCCTCTTTCTCCCATCCCAACCGAGATTTTTCATATCAATTAAAAAAACACATACCCCTCCTTCCTCCACAGCCACCTTCCCCAACCCAACCCACCCCCCTCCGTCCCCCCCACCCCCACCTGCTCATGCACATTGCTGTAAATCCTAGGCTCCAGCTCCCGCCGGAGGTCCGCTGCCAGCCGTTCCAGCTGCCGCTCATCCAGCAGGAGACCCCCCGCCCCGGCCCCACCCGAACCGGTCTGGGTCTGGGTCTGCTGCCAGGCGGTGGTCTCCGCGGCTGCGGCACGTTTGAACTGCCTGCGATGCGAGGGGTGTTAAAAGGTGGGTGTGGGGCTGGAGTGGGGCTAAAGGTTATAAAGGTGATGATGTGGGGGGTGTTGTAACGTTCAACGTAGGAGGCGTGTGAGGGCGAAGAGGGGAAGCACCGTATGATGCGGAGGAGGAAGACGGAGAAAAAAGGGGGGGCTAGACACACTCTTGTCATCCCCCTGCCGCTGGGGCTCGCACTCCATGTTCATCAACATGCATCTCCCCTCCCCCTCCCCCTCTTCCTTTCCACTCCACTCCACTCCACTCCACTCCCCGCTCACCCCTCGTCCATCGTCGACACCAGCTCCCAGCAGGGCTTGTGCAGGTGGGCGGCGTGTTTAGCCAGGCAGCTGAGCACGTAGCCGCTCTGCAGGAAGGGAGCCGCCACCCGGTCCACCTGGCACTTCTGCATCACATCTCCGTCGCACTGACTGGTCAACGGCATCCCCACCCGGTAGCGGTTGAGGGACAACTTCACAAGCGCCTACAGCAACACCAGCACGGAGCAGCAGCAACAGCAGCAACAGCTCTAGTACCGTATCAGCCTCAGCAGTAGCAGCAGAAGCAGAAGCGACGTGGCAGCAGCGCCAGCTGCAAGCGCGTCACACCAGCCTGGGATGGCCCTTCCGGAAACTCCTCCTCCGCTTCCCTAACCGCACAACCCACACTCTACCCATTACACGCCCATCCCACTCCCCCATTCCACACTTCCATGCAACCCTTGGGTCCGCAGACCCCTTAACCTCAGCGTATTCGTGTGTTGGTGCCCCCCCCACCAACTTATCAAGGTCCATTGCTTCTTGTTGAAGGGGAGGATGGGACGGAAGCGGGATGGGGCTGGCGGCTTCCCTCCAGACGCACACGCCCCACGCCTCCTGCTCCACAAAGCTCGCCCTAACCTAACCCCCTTCCCCCTCCCCCGCCCCTTCCCCCGCCCCCGCCCCTTCTCCCTCCCCCTCCCCCCCCCTTCCCCCTCCCCGGCCCTTCCCCCTCCCTCCCCGGCCCTACCTGCAGCTCCGATCTGCATCCCGGTGCCAGCTGCGCGGACTGCCTGGCCAGACAGCCCAGAGTGGTCTCCTCGCGGTGGGCCCCGCCCGTACCAGTAACCGACTGACGGGACGAGCCCAACTCATCAACCGCTTCGGGACACAGCCGCTGAGTGTCTGGAGGGGGCGCGGGAAAGGTGGAGAGGCGGGCCGGGGAGGGCGGGGGGAGGGCGGGGGAGGAGAGAGGGGGTGGGAAGGTGGAAAGGGGTGGAGAGGGGGACGACGAAGGGCGTGTGGTGTAAAAGGGATCTGCATGCAGGCGCTTGGAATAGTTCTCGTGTCAATGTACCGCCAACCACCAACCGCCAATCAACCAAGGCACCGATGAGCCTGACAGCAGCACTTTGCTGCCGAAACCTGACTTTACACAAGTAGTAGCTACTTTAAATGAATCGACACCAGTTTCGTTTGGCCAAACATATGAAAAGAACATAACTGAATAACACAGGATAACATTTTGTTTTGCATCAACCAACAACTGACAAACCAACCAACCAACGAACCAACAACTGACTAACAAACGAACCGTCCCCCTTCGCCTCCTTTTCCCCTGCCATCCCGTCGCGATCTCCCCACCACCACCACCACCAAGCCACCCCGCACCCCAACCCCACCCCGCCGCATAGATCCCCCCTCGCTTCTCCATCCCCTCCTCCTCCTCCTCCTCCTCACCCTCCTCGCACTCCTGGCTCAACCTGTAGTTGAGCGAATACTTGACTGCGGCCCTGTCCGTGAGCTGTCTGAGCGCCAGCCTGCAGCCTGCGGGGAAGTGGCCCTTGTCCATGTTCCCCTGCAGGCAGCTGATGACTCGGGCGTCTCCGGGGGGAACGTCGGAACAGAAGCTGCTGATGGCCAGAGGGCACTCCCTGTGCATGTGTACGTGTGTGGGGGATAAGGGGGCGTGGAAGGGAGGGGGCAGGCGGGGGGAGGACAGGGGCCAGGTGGCCGTGAGGGGAAGGAGGAGAGAGGGAGAGGGAGAGGGTGGTTCAGATTAAGGAAAGCTGGGATGGGATGGGATGAGGATGGCAGGGCGGGGAGTGGTCGGGGAGGGGGACATTGGAAGGTTCTGAAGGAACCTCAATGTTCCTTTAGGCTGTTAAATGCTGCTGTTGTTGTTGTTGTTGTTGGTGGTGGTGGTGGTTATTAGGAGCATCGCGACCTCCTCAGCCTTCCTCTCACACATGTACACACACTCTCTCGGCCGACCGCTAGCCTACACCACATAAGCCCCTCATTACCCCCCTTCCAGACTCTCTCTCTCTCTCTCTCTCTCTCTCTCTCACACACACACACACACACACACCTCATAAGTTTTGGGTTCAGCCGCACATCCTCGTGTTCCATCCTCTCCACCTCCTCCTCGGCCTCCCGGCACTCCGGGGAGAGGTGTTCGGCGGAGCGCCGGAGGCAGTCGTGGACCTGAGTAAGGGGGGAAGGGGGAGTGGCGGGGGGGGGAGAAAGGGGGACGGAGAGCACACCACCAGCGGCAGACAGGTGGGGATATCGTGAGGTGAGATAAGAGGGCGTGTTAGCTGCATTGTGCGTGGAAGGGATGGGGGGGAAAAGAGTGTGTGTGTGTGTGTGTGTTTGAGGTCACAGGTTTGTGTGGTAAGGCTTCCTGTGCCGAACCCCAAACCCCCGTCCCGTCCCCCTCCTGTTCATTTCTCTTCACCCCTACCCCACCTGACCACCTCCGGCCTCCAAGCCGCCGCAGTACTTCTGTACGTCACTGGTACACGCCTGGGGAGGGGTTAAATGGAATTATTGGGGGGCGGGTTGAAGGGGTGGGTGGGCTGGAAGGGAGGGTGTCAAACAAAAGGGGGGTTGGAAGCGGGTGCGGGTTGGATGGGGGGTTGGGGGCCGGGGATGCGGGTTGGAAAACGGGGGGAGGACCCTACCCCTCATTCCTCCTTCTCCTCCTCCTCCTCCTACATCATTACCACCGGAAGCCCAAGGCTCGGAGTAACGCCACTGCCCATGGGACTATATGGCCTCTCAATTCCAACCTTCTTTCCAATCCCCCTTCCCCACCTCTCCTCTCCTCCCCCTCTCCCCCCTTCCTCCTAGTTCTTCCGACATCATCTTCACTTCGTCATCACGAGGTCGCGGTCTTCACGGACGCCTTTCGGTCAGTTCTACGTTTGGTACACTCTTGCCCTGGCAGCAGCTTCACTCGTGTGTGGTTCGTCTTCCCCACCCCCTCACTCCCTCACACCTGCATCAGCTTTACATCCATCCTGTGGTCCTCCACCATGAAGCCCATCAGCCTCATCACCTGGCCCCGACACGCCTCACTGCTGATGTTAGCCCGCTGGTCGCGAAGGCAGGACACCACTCGGCCCTCCCCGGGCTGCACACCTGCGGGGGGGGGGTATTGGGGGAGAGGGGGAGCGGGGGAGGAGAGGAGAGGTGGGAAAGGGGGATTGGAACGAGGGTTGGAATTGTAAGCCATGTAGTCCAATGGGCAGTGGCGTTACTCCGAGCCTTGGGCTTCCGGTAAAGATGTAGGAGGAGGGGAAGGAGGAGGAGGAATGAGGGATAGGGTCCTCCCCCCTTTTTCCGACCCGCATCCCCGGCCCTGTGGCGGGAGAGTAGGGCGAGTCCGGGGGGTGGGTTGTAAGGCGGTCCAGGGACCAGGAGGCAGTTCCTTCCCTCCACCCACCCACCCACCCATCCACTAACCTTTCTTACCAGTTACCACCCCCTCCCCCCCTTGGTAGCAGCTTCACTCGTTCGTGGTTCGTCTTCCCCCCCACCCCCACCCCCTCACCACTGCACAAGGTGCTGATCTCCTCCCCGCAGTCCTCCCGGAGTCCCGCCATGGTGCGGATGTCCCTGGTCGCCTCGGTCAGGTACTCCCGCAGGGCCAGGCCGCAGCGCTCGGAGAAGCCGGGGGAGGTGCGGCGGTCGGCAAGGCAGTCCAGGGCGCGAATACCCTGACCGGAGCGCGCGGGAGGGGGAGGAATGGGAGGAGAGCGAGGTCGGGGGGTGGGGTGGGGTGGGAAGGTGAAGGGGGTGGGAAATCATACCATGATGCTGCTGGGTGATGCTAGGTGAGGAAGGCAAGAGGTTCAATTGTTTCAGAACACGATGACGATGACGATGACGAGGAGTACGTCCCAAGCACCAACCGACACAACTACCACCACCACCACCGCCGCCGGAGGAGTCCGACGAGCGCCATGAGGACTCAGTAACCGAGTCCCTAGCTCTGGGAACCACCAGCTCCAAAAAACTACAGCGAAGAAAGGGATGGGGCTTGCTGGGAGCGGGACGCTTCTCCTGCCTTTTCCCCCCCCACCTCCCCCCCTCCCCCCCCCATTCCCCACTCACCTCCATTCCCGGTGCCGAGCACATGGTGGCGTGCTCCCGGGCACACGCCTCCATGAGGTCGGGGATGAAGGCCACGTCGGTGGCGGCCTGGGTGCGCCGGTCGAGGACCACCGCCATACACGCCTCCGAAATCTTGCCCTGAACACATACATACACACGTACACATGTCGACACGTGTGTACAGCAAGAGAGAGAGAGAGCGGGGGAGAGAGAGGGGGGGGGGGAGAAAAGAGAGAGGTAGGTAGGGGAGGTGGAAGCATATATGTGATAATGCAAGAAGGCCAGAATGATGTACTACCGAAAGAAGTGAATGTTCGAAAAAAGCCCACAACAGCCGATGACGTCCCAACTGCACCAACTGCACCAACCGCAGTCCGAATAAGGAAGGCGGGGCAGGAAGAGCAGCACGTGGCACCTTGTGTATGTATGTATGTATGTATGTATGTATGTATGTATGTATGTATGTATGTATGTATGTATGTATGTATGTATGTATGTATGTATGTATGTATGTATGTATACATATATGTTCGTGTACTTGTTTACCTGCATCAGGCCGGTATCAGGTTTACCCCTTAACATCGAGGCCCACCCGTCAACCAATCCCGAGCTGCCAGGCCCCACCCCCATTTCCCACCACCACCACTTCCACTCCTCCCCCCCCCCTCCCCACCCCCACCACCACCACCACCTTGAGCACCGCGGGGGAGTCCTCGCGACTGAACTTGTCCATCCTCTCCTGCAGTAAGGGCGGGAGGCACACGGGGGGAAATACACGTAAGACACGGCGGGAGGGGGGAGTCATGTGCGGCAAAGAAACAAGGAATGGGGTGGGACTGCCGGCGTACAAACTTTGGAAAGGGGGAACGAAAGAAGTGTCGTTAACAAGGAGCAGGGCGTCATAGTGTGCGTTTGTATGTATGTACATTCGTCGCACGGTCGCAATACACTCCATACGAGTCCCACGCGCCCCGCCCACCCCCAACCCCATCCTGTTCCGGAGCCCCTCATCCTTCCCCCACCTCCTCGTCATAATCCCCCTCCCCCCTACCTACCCCCAGGTCTGCCATGCGTCACCTTCCCACCTCATACGGTAAACCCCCCCTTGCCCCCCCCTCCCCTACCTTCCTTCCCCCCTCCTTCCGCCCTTCCCCCATCCCTTCCTTCCCCCCTCCTCCCCCCCTCTCCCGCCCTCCTTCCCCCCCTCCTTGCCCCCTCCGCCCCACCTGCAGGCACTCCAGTGCACGAGGCGGGTGCTGGGAGCACAGCAGCGCCACCTCCTGGTGGCAACCCCGCATAAGGCCCGCATCCAGACGGTTGTCAGTGTAGGCATCCACCAGGCTCTCGTACATATGTCTGTGGGAAAGCAGCGGCAGCAGCAGCCGGTGGGAGCCGCCGCACGTGGGGCAGGCAGGAGAAAGGGCGCGCCCGTGTGTGTATATGTGTATGTATGTGTGTGTGTAAATGGACTAAGCCGCGAGAAGTACGCATGGACGTACGTTTGTTGAACAAGTCACATGAAGGACAACTTTACCAAAGCAATGCTAGTAGTCCAGTAATGAAGTATAACGAAGTATAATCAGTTAGCTGGGTATTCCTCTCAACGAATGAAGATGTGCGTATGTAAGTATGTATGTCCGCGTGCAGAAGGACCAAACCCAGCAACAGAAACCCCCACCCCCACCTGCCCCTCCCCGACCCGCCCCCAACGCCTGCAGCCACTCTCGCGCCACCCTACTCCTGTAAAACACTCCAGCTCGGTGCCATTGCACCGGGCTTCTCCCCCCCCGCCTCAGCCCTACGGCCTACACCCCTCCTCCTCCTCCTCCTCGTCCCCGTCCTCACCGCCCCCCACTGCTGCCATCGTGTTCCCCTAGCCACGCGTCCGGCACACGACTTCCATACCGACATACATACGCCCTTTATCATCATTTTCCCGCTTCCCATGCGTTAACGCTCTTTTCATATTCCTCACTTTCCCCCTCCACCCTCCGTAATGTTGGGCAGTTGCGCCATCGCTGTCGGACGCCCGCTGGCAGTTGGACCATGCTTTGACTTTTGGACTTTCATATCACAGCACATCACCGCACTTCACTCCCTCTCAACACCAGTTTGCCGTACCTCCTGCAGGTTGCATCTCGCACCAGCTCCAGCCTGCCCCGCAGGCACTCGAACGGCGCAGACAGCCCGAACGGCACCACCTCCGGCCCCGACTCGAGCTGTTCAGCTACCTCCTCATCACACAGACTCCGTACATCCCCCGAGCAACTGGACACAAAGGTATGGTCCAGTCGTACGTCCAGGGAGCGCAGCTGTCGTACCTCCCCAAGCGCCTCAGTGCAGTCCTCTGCGTCCGGGGGGTCGGGTGGGGTGGGAGGGGCCAGGAGGGGAGAGAGGGATGGGAAGAGGAAGGAGGAGAGCGACGGGAAGGATCATGGAATCAGTAATGGGGGGTTGGGGTGAGAGAGGGAGGGGATGGAGCGGGGTAAGGAAAGCAACAGGGCAGGACGGACACATCTCGCACGCGTAGGACGTGGGTACGACGTAGTGAAGGACGGACGTGATGAAGGGAAAGATACAAACCAATGATTAGAAAGAAGCAAGGGGAGGGTTTGAAGCGGGTTATTAGGTCCCCCCTTCCTTCCTCTTCTCCCTGAACACGATTTTCCCTCAACATTCCCTCCCCTTTTCCCCCTCCTCCTCCTCCTCCTC